TGTTTCATTTTTTTTAACTGGATCCTTTAGGACAAATCTTATGTCTTGTATAGACTGTCTTGTAAATATTCCCTTTCCACCAAATATTCAATATTTATCTGTTATTTTATTTCAACAAACCCTCAGTTTCGTCTTGTACTTGGAAGCGTTCTGTTCTTTAAAGTATCAAAGTTCTCGGCAAGATTTTCATTATTCAAATTTACATGGACTGGTAAATCAGGACCAAATAGTTAGCCAAAAAAGAAATTTAAAGGAACAAAAATGATGAAAGTGTTTATGAGTAAGTATATTTGATATATTATACCTGATTAATTATTATAATGATATTAACACTATAGTCATACTCGACTTTATTATTTATGACTACTATTTTTAAAGAAAACATGATAATGTTACAGGTGCAGCAAAAAGAATTAAGAAAATTAAAACGTTCACTTTGAATGAATTCACTTCGAATTTCTCCGAGGTCCTACGACCTTATAAACAAATTTCGAAAGCTTTAAAGAAGAAGAGGGCAAACAGAGGCCAAAATGAGGAAGATTCAGATTTATTGTCAGATGACGAAGATAATGAAGCAATGATGGATTAAAATTTAAACGAAAGAACATTGAAATTAAATCCCTGGCTACTCTGCATTTTGTATTAAGATTAATCTAATAATTATTAGTAAGAAAGTTTTTTTGTATTTCATATCCTCTAACATTATAATATAATTACATTTATATTTTTAAATAATCATGAAAGTATTTAATATATTTTAATGTTAATGATAATTATGTTTTATATTTGTATTATTTAATATTATTCAGGTGTTAAATAAAAAATGTAATAAATAATTTTACTGCATATATCTATCATACCGATTTCTCTAGTAGTGTCACATTTTGATCATTTGATGAAGTAATCATGATTTGAAAATAATTCTTATTTAGAGAAGTATATATGTGTACATATTTAACGCTTCAAATGTAATCATCGTATGCTGTGAATATGACGAAAATATGATTTAAAAATATTCGTCATTTACACAAGTATATTTGTAGGAGTATATGGTGTTTTTAAAACCATCACGGCATGCTTATAATATGAGGAAAATATGAGTCAAACATTTTTATCATCGTAATAGGCATACATGTAAGAATATTTAATTTTTGTAATGAAATCATATAACGCTGAAACTAAACTATCGATTTTTAGTACAAATTTTCTATGATTTACTTGATCTGATATTTTGACAATCTACACTCAATCATGTATGTCATCAGTTGCTTTCAATTTGGTCTAACTGAGGTACTCACAAAACGGTCATGATGAGTTCATATAAATAGTAAAAAATGGTATCAATTTGATTTAAATTTCATAGAGACTTGTCTATCTGGTAAGTAGTTCTTATATTTATATATGATTTCAAATTAAAAAACTCATTTTATAATTATAAAATAGTTAATAATTGAAATATTAATAATTTTGTTATAATATTTCTAAAGAAAAATAAATTACATATTTCATTCACTTAAAATATTTACAGAGATGTATGATTCGTTCAAGTTTTTAAACTATTTAAAAATTCCATCCTTTTTTCAACATTTCATCGTTCAGTTTGTCATTAAGTTGTTATAATAGAAGTTTGAACTAATAAAGTAATATACAAATTACTTTGCACTTGATTTATATTTTGAGTTATTTGATCAGTTTGTCATCATCTTATAATTGAAAGTATTTGCTAAATAGATCGTTTTCTCAAATTTCGTGGTAATTATTGTGTATTTGTCTACGTAACTTTATCGGTATTAGGGAATAAGTCAAAGACAGAGCATCCAACTTTTTTAAATCCTGTCATAAGTTTAAAAACATCGTAGGAGCTGAAAAAGAATGGCGTGAATTAATAGAGATTGTGATTGGTGAATGGAATAAAGATATATTGCTATAAACATTGCCAAAACAATATTCAATGGGTGCATGTATCTTAAACACGAATTTGGAGCAGAAAATGAAGCTATCACCTGATTCAAGGTTTAGCTGAAATTGATAATTATGATTCAATAGACAAGTTTTTGGATTGAAAATTTGAGACAATAGCAAAGAAGTAAAAGTTTAAAGATAATTTTAAAAATCACGTATATTAATTTTGGTGTGTTTGTAATATATGGTATTTCCGTAAAAAAAAATATTAACGAGGCAAAAAAAATTTTCCTAATTTTATACCCGGTTTTAGAATCAAATGAAGAGTCAGCAATAGCTCACTTTAAAAAAGATAAATTACTTCATGTTGAAATGGATGGCTTAAATAAATTTTATCTTGATGAACTGAATAATACTGGTATTTTAGATGATTTTTTTCTTAGTGTTTGTTAGAGGCATATACGGAAATTTAACGACTCAAAAAATATATGTCTACTGTAATGAAGAAAAATTAACAGTTATTATAACATATCTAATAATTTTGATACTCTTTGTCTTTTTCAATATTTTTTTTTCTTAAATTATTATAATGATCAAAGGCATAATTTTGTTTATTTTTTATTTTTTTAATGTTTTGAATGAATTAAATCTGTTAAACTACTTTAGTAGAATCAAGAGCAATTGTGTAATCTTAGTGAAACTATACAAGTTGATAGTTTTTCAGACTCATCATACAAACTTGATAAAACTGTGCGAATTATCTTAAGATACTTGTCAAAAAATTGTTTGCTTATTAATTAATTTAAACTTATATTATAGCTAGTCTACAGAGTCCTCTCCTAAAGAATTGATTGTCATCGAAGTTGTAATACTTTTATTCGTGTTGTGATTGATTGTTGAATTTATTGGCGGTAAATAGCTTTTATTTGAATTTGGTTGTTTGGTTAATTCGAAAAGAATGTTATTTTTATTTTTTAATCAAATTATATTATATTTATATTATTTACGTTACTATTTATACCTCTAGTGTAAGTAAATTAATAATTTATCGCTATTTCGTAACCACAATTTCGATGATAAAATAGCCAGTTTGTTAATCGGTAAAGTAGTCCGATCAGGAAGTGTTGGTAATTTTCCTCTTTATTCTATTTAACGACGACGTAGTTAATCGAGACCCCATAAAAAAGTGAAATAAATTTTAGTATCAAGTTAATTTGGATATATAAATAAGCGTTAATTTACAACAATAATTTATTACTTATCACAATTATGGCAAGTTATACTTTCTTGAACTCCAGGGAAATTAAATACCGGTGGACCATAAAAAATTTTGTTGATTACTTCACTTTTGTCACTCCCCAAAGAGATAATACGATAAAATCTTCTATGTTCGATATTGATGGACACGAAGAATGTCAATTCTATTTGGAAATGATTGTTTCGCAAAATTCTGTACAATGTTTGCTCCTATTGAATCCTTGTAGTAGACGTTTACAGCTGACATATGAGCTATCTGTATTGAAAGCAAATAATGACAATTTCACGAAAGTAAACGGGAATATCTTGTGGGATGACACAAAATATTACACACGTGCATCTCCACAATTATTCATTTCGTTGGATGATTTTTTTGCAAAAAAATTGTACGATCAAACGAGCTCGCCGAAGGCGAGCGAAGTTCGATCGAAATTATATAAAGTCTCGTTCGAAAGGATTACAAACGTAGTATCGCCTTCGTACTACAACACAACCACACATTCAGAGATAGAAAAAGAGAGCCCTCTATGACTCTCTACCAGCTTCCGGGTAACTCTCATAATTTTTACAGATATGAAAAATAAATAAACTTGGGGTGGGACTTTCTTTTATTATATTATATAATTAAAACTTAAGGGGTTGGGATGTAATCCTTTCGAACGAGACTTTATATAATTTCGATCGAACTTCGCTCGCCTTCGGCGAGCTCGTTTGATCGTACAATTATAGTCGTCTCGTTCTCAGGATTACAAACGTAGATGTTTAGAGTCCTAATTTTTTGGGTAAAAAATTTTTTATTTATTTATTTTTCCAATTACATATTTTCTTACAGCATTACTTTACTTAGATTATAACTGAAGGCAGAGTATTTCAACTTAATAACTTATTATATTAGCTTGAAGACAAACTGTTTCAGCGAATATGCTTTTCGATACTTTAATTGGTCTATTGTAAAATCTTGCGAAAACCTCTGACGATTTCGTCCAACCAGCCGTTGACTTAATTGTGTTTATGTCAATTCCTTTTTTATATGCAGTTGATGTGGATGCATGTCGCGTTGAATATGCGGTAAATTCTTCTGGAACACCACTTTCTGTTAACACTGACTTAACCCAACGACTGATTGTTTGAGTAGACGCTTCTTTGTAAGGTTTCTTAAAAGTGATTAGCAGTTTGTCAACATTATTTCTTAATGAATTAGTAGCCTCAATATATTTTTCTACTGTGCTTGCAATACATAGTTGAGGTTTGTCTTTAAAATAGGGTAAAAACAGCAATGGTTGATTTACACCTTTTTTAGATGTTTTTGTAAAATCTTCAATTTCTATTTCTAATCCTCCTTCTACTTTTTTGATTTTACTTACTTTAATTAGTGCCAACGTTTGTATTCTATGAGCAGTGCCTAATGCTAACAAGGTTGCTACTTTTAACGTTAACCTTGACAACTTTAAACTTTCCAAGGGAAACCAAGTTTCTAACACATCTAAGACTATCTTTGGATCCCGGGTTTTATCATACTTCGGCCTTAGAGGACGATTTCGATAGACACCTTTGAAAAATCTATTTAATAATAGACTAGATGATAGGCTTTTTTCTGATAATAGGGATATTGCTGCTCTCATTGAATTTAGGGAGCCATAAGCTGCTCCTGCTTGAAACTTGTGAGATAAAAATTCTAATAAATTATTTTCTGTGATATTATATGGATCTTGCTTCTTTTCTTCGCAAAATCCAAACCATTCTTTTATTGGACCAGCATATTGTTTTATTGTTCCTTCTGCAAGCGATAGTATTACAATCTCTACGGCTGATGACGGAAGTCCTCTTTTTTCGAACGCTGTCCGGATAGCTTGCCGACAATCAAAAACATTTTTTGATGCAAGGGATGATTTAATGATCTGCAAGGTGATAACAAAAGTTTTTTAGATGGTTTGAAAACGATAGGTTTTTCTACTAAAAGAGTCTCGAAAACTGGAAACCAAGCCTGTGTGGTCCAATAAGGGACTACTAATATACCCCGTGCTCTGTCAGATACAATTTTCTGAATGACCCTAGGAATCATAGCAAACGGAGGGAACGCATAGAAAAACCAGTTATGCCAGTTGATTGTAAACGCATCTACGATGAAACTTTCTGGGTCTTGAAACCAGGAACAGAAAACCTCGCATTTTTTATTAATTCTGTTCGCGAAAAGATCTATTTCCGGTGTACCATATTTTCTAACTATTTTACGAAAATATTCGTTTCCAATCTCCCATTCAGTGTCGACATTGTTTTTTCTTGATTCTCGATCGGCATCTTCATTTTCTTGAGAGGGGATATACGATGCAAAGATCCAATTGTTTTTCTGTTCACACCACTGCCAAATTTCTCTAGCAAGAATATTTAAATTCTGATGTTGAATACCACCCATTCGATTTATGTAAGAGATTGCAGTCGTATTATCAACTCTCAAGAGAATGTTACAATTGTAAAGATCCGAAGCGAATGATTTTAAAGCAAAGAATATTGCAAGCAACTCTAAATAATTTATATGGTGTTTTTTCTCTTCTACAGACCATGACCCGTGAGTACCAGTACCTTCACAATAAGCTCCCCAACCTGATAGAGAGGCGTCAGTAAAAATAACCCTTTTATAACTAGGTAATTTAAAGGAGTTTCTAGAGTTCATAATATTTATTTTCCACCATTCAAAATCCTCTCTCAAATGCTCTGGCAACCTCATGACGCAGTCATATTTACCATCCTTCTTCAACAGCGACAGAAACTTCTCTCTCTCTAACTTCTTTGTATAGAGCCAACCATATTTTATTGCTGGACAAGCTGCCACTAAACTTCCAATAAGTTGAGCTAATAATCTGATTTTTACTTTTTCCTTATACATTATTTTTTGAATCTTTTCTAATAAATTATGTTTCTTTGACTCTGGCAATTCTAACGTCATACTACTTGAGTTTATCAAAAACCCTAAAAACTTACACTCTCTATCAGGTATTAATTGACTTTTTCCCTTATTTACGATGAATCCTAAAGACTCAAGAAGCTGCACTGTTGACTCTACATTCTTTGTACATTCTTCATAAGTGTTTCCTACACACAAAATATCATCTAGATATGCAATTAATAGTGAACCCCTCTTTCGTGCAACATTAAGTGCAGATCTTAAAACCTTAGTAAAAATGAATGGGGCTGTGGATAAACCAAATGGTAAACAAACAAATTCGTACAGTTTATTTTCGAACCTAAATCTAAGATATTTTCTACTCTCCTGATGCATTGGTATAAGAAAGTATGCATCCTTTAAATCAATTACAGCCAAGTAGTCTCCCTGTGATATAAGTTTTGAAGCTATTTTTATATCTTCTAGCTTAAAATGACTAGTGTCTATGAATTCATTGAGATTTTTTAAGTTTATTATAAATCTCTTTGTTCCATCTGGTTTATCCACTAGAAAATAGGAAGATATAAACTGTCCTTGAATGTCAGAACAAAGTCTGACAGCTCCTACTTCCAATAACTTATTTACTGTTATTTTATAATTTGTCAAGTTATCCAACTTAATAAGGTTAGGACTCGCAGGTTCCTTAGACTGATAAGGAGTTTCTCTAAACTCGATCTTATAACCCTCTATATAACCTATGATAGTTTCATTGGCAGTGACCAGTTTCCACGACTCCAGAAAGGATCCTAACCTCCCAGCATGGTGGGTTACCTCTATTTGTGACGACGATCCGATGACCGGTGAGTTGTTTTGGTTCTGCTGTGAGAGCTCGCATATCTCGAGTCTCTCTTGGACGTCATTCTCTGAGTTTGGGGATTGTACATCTTCTGTCCCATCCTCGAATATCCCAGATTCTTCGAAGATGGGTTCTTCCAGTTTAAATGATTCTGTGATTTCGAGGGAAATTTTTTCATTATTTGCTTAGGCTTAAGTTCGGAAGCCGCCTTTTCAATTGTTTTCGTTGTTTGGATTTTTTCCGCTAATTTTTCACCAAACAGATATTTGTCGAGTTGACATCTTTCGAGAGCATCTTTCCTGGATTTTTCTAATCCTGGCAGAATAAATGCTCTTCTGTTAATAGCCATTTGATGATGAGTTTCAGCCATTAGCATCCCTGCGTCACTTACATATTCTAACAACAGATTCCTGTGCTCATCTTTAATGACCTTTTCCTTCAATATTAAGGAAATCCCCAGGCCTAGGGCTATCATAGCTGAACCTAATGATTTCTGTGTTTCGACAGCATGTTCATCTCGCTTCTTTGCCGCTGGTTGCATTATTACGGCGACTTCTTCATTCAGAATCTGGGGTTCTAACAGAACGTTTTCAGCTCGTGGATAAGCTGCAATGAGATTCTCCTTGATCTCTTTTTCAAGACCCTCTGGAATCCATGACGACCATCTCGCTGCAACTTCTGGGTGTATTGAAGCTATATTTGTATTTTTAAGTCTTGGGTCCTTTCCTAAAATATGTTGAGTCTCCTCATCTACCTCGGTTGATGAATCGACCTTCTCTGTTTCCGCCATATTTCTTTCCTCAGTGTCCATTAGCGTACCCTGTCGCGTGAGATTTGAATTATCTTGCGGTTCAGGGTGGGTCGGTAAGCTATCGGCTGGATTATTGATTAGCTGATCTCCAGTACCATTTCCCTCACTTGCACTCTCTGCAACAAGCCATGTAGACCCCAAATTACACCTTGCCACTCGTGCAAGTATTACTCGAAATGAACAATCTGTCCCACCACTCGTGTGGGCACATTGTTTTGAATTTTCTATTGAAATTCTTGAGCGATCTGTCCCACCACTCGTGTGGGCACATCGTCATTAAGCAACCACTCTTCTTTTTACACTCACCTGAATTCGAAGATTGTTCGTTAGCAGAGTGGTTTTGCTCGCTTACTATTGTCCCTGTAATTTTATGTAAAAGCGATTCTAATCCTTTTAACTTCTTCCAAATCTTTTCCCGTTCTTCTCTTTCTTCCTCTCGCTCACGTTTTCTTTTACTTTTTCCCATTTTTTCCTCTTTTTTGATTAAAATTTCTTACTTGAATCTCTGAACGTGTGACCGTGCCGCGCACAAAAAACGTTATGAGAGTTACCCGGAAGCTGGTAGAGAGTCATAGAGGGCTCTCTTTTTCTATCTCTGAATGTGTGGTTGTGTTGTAGTACGAAGGCGATACTACGTTTGTAATCCTTTCGAACGAGACGACTATAATTGGAATTATTCCCTGACTGAATTTTAATTCCAAGATATCAAACAATAACGAATAATTTCAAAGAACTTTTGAATAGTCAAAATGAAAGTGATGTCGTATTTGAAGTTGATGGTTAAGAATTCAATGTTCATAAAATAATACTAATGGCACGCAGTCCAGTATTTTCAGCAATGTTTAACTACAATATGATTGAGAACAAATCGAATCGAGTCAAAATTGAAGACATAAGTCAATTTTTAAATAAATGATACATTTCATTTATACAGATGAAGTTGAAATAAAACTTGATCTAGAAACTGGAATAAATTTATTGAAAGCAGTGTGTAAATATCAATTGGAAGGTCTGGAAGCGATATGCGAAACAGAACTTTGTAATCTATTAACTATAAAAAATGCCATAGACTTATTGGTAGTCGCTGAATTATATAACTTGCCCAATTTTATAAACAACATTAAAAATTTTCATTAAAGTTCACCCGAAAACAATTCAGAATATCACTAATCCTCATCATCTTTTTTTGATTCTTACTGATAAGAAAGAGGAAAGTCAAGATTTCGCCTCCCAAGTAAGTAAGAGAAATAAGTTTTATTTACTTAAATAATAGATTACTATTTCAATTGTCATATGTCTTAATATATCACTTGCGATGTTTCAATGTTTATTAAATGTTAAATAAATTCATTTTTTGTTTTTCTTATAGAACTAATTTCAATTCCACTTGATTGAGTTAAATCTACTTGGACCGTTGCGTAATGAATCCAAAACATAAGTTACTTGCAAAAATTATCTTTGAAAGTTAGGAAGGGTTACAATAACGTCAACTAATAAAGCTAATTATCAATATCAATGTCATCCGTAAATGATGAAAACAAGAAACACTCCTGTGAAAAATATCGATCATACGAATTCGTTCAGAAAAAGCACATTATTCTTAATTCTTTCTGTTAACCTGATAAAGCAATGCATGTTAGTATTTTATTTTTTTATATAAACGCAATGAAATAATATAAAATTTAATAGAGATTTTTAGCAAAGATAGACATGTTGATTATTGAATATATGGGTACGAGAAGAAGAAGTAAATTTTTAATGTCCAAATAGTTATAAAAAAAACATGAGTCTATATGATATTTGGTAACTTTGATAAATAAAACTTTTTCTCATAGAATGTAAAAGTGATAATAAAAAGTTTTATATATACGTATGTTATCTATATAATCAAGTTGATATAAGTTATACACTTTCCTGTAATTTTTGGAATAGTAGAGCCAACGTAAAGTTGGTGAATGGCATCAAAGATAAGAAGAAGTCAATTTGTAGTTTCTTGGCAGAGCTCAAACTTGAATAAATATTTAAATATTCTTCTAAACGACACATTATACTATTGTGACAGGAAATTATTATTTGGCATAAGAACTTGATCAATTAAATACAAAATCGATAAGGTATCTTATAATATTTATATTAATTTGGTAATAGGATTAATTCAAAAATAATTTAGTAATTAAGTAATTAATTAACAGCAGTTAAAATTGTAGGAGTGATAACAAATATAAATGTAAGATATATTTATTTATCTTTTACCTACTTTTCATGATCATAAATTATCAACGATAACTATTTATTAATTTAGTTCATTAGTATCAATGGCATTTTTCTGTCAAGTATCAGGTAAGAAAATTCTATCTTTGTACCTACGATTGTAAATAATGTTATACAACTCTTACTACAAAACTGTTTTGCCGAGATTTCATACGTAAGCATTAGTAAAACATCATTTAATTTTTTTTGTTTAAAGTTTATCAATTAATAACTTGCAGTTTACTTTCATTTAAGGTAAAAGATGCAGTTTTCGGCTACACCACCATTGTTGTCTAAATTTTTTATATTTAATATATGTATATATAATTATCAAAATCATCAAACAATCATGGTTTTTTAAATTCTCATATTAAAAATTAACTAACATTTTTTTTTAATTTCTATAAAAGAATAAAACAATGATATTTTTTATATTTAGTAGATAAAAAAACAATGATGCGAATAATCGTTATATGGATCTGTGTCTTTTACTCTATCAATGTTTATCACTGGTATTTTGTTTATTTTGGAAAAAATGATTGGAACACTGAAAAATTTTTTCGCGGATAACGAACATACCTATTAGTTTAAAAAACTATTCTCAAAACATCACCTGATGACATTGTTAAATTGTCAACATATTGTTTAATCATAAAAATACACTATTGATCTGTTTTGAAAACCGTACATTTTTATTATAACATAGATTTTTATGATGACTTAATTTTTTTCTCACAAGAAACAATGTTTTAAATCAATTTAGACTGAGTTTTAGAGGTAAAGTATTCAAGTCGAATAAAAAATTTTTTGAAAACATTAATAAATTACTGTTTAGCGTTAATCAGATATTTTAAAGAATAATTAATTTATCATATTGATAATAAAAAAAAATTGTAAGTAAAAATACCCAGAATATTTAATTAATAATATTTATTTTTTAATGAATACAAATTGAATGAATTATTTACAGATCGATTATCATGTCGTCACGTTTTAAACAATGGTAATCTCAGGATTTATGCTAAACTATGTGATGAGAGTAAATTTAATCCTTTCTATAGTGTCAATGGTCGTTCCTAGTAATTCATCATCTAACTCATCCTATGTAATAAGCCACGAGTGTTCTGATTCTTCACAAACCATCAATACTAGTGTAGTAAATTGATTAGCTATCAAATGTTATAAGTTTAATTATAAAAAAATATTAATAAGAGTGTTGCTTTTTTATGGAGAGATGATGTTTCATTTAATATTTAAATTAAAGTCTACAAAAATCACTAAATGTATTTTTGTATGAAGTTTAGATTTTATATATAACTTCCCAGTAGGAAGCTGTTGTAATGGGTCCGATTTTGCAAATCCTAAATTTTGAAAGATCTTCAAGCGCTTTAGTGCCTTTGGCTGCTCAGCTAAACGTGAAATAATCAAACAATGTAGATAGTAAACTACACTTTGAAGTCCTCAAACAGTTGGTAAGTAAGCTTCCATGACGCTGAAATAAAAAAAAGTTGCTACTGAGTGTACATATTTTGATACAGATGCTTATGACATATAGGTACTAGGTGGTGGGGATATAAAATCGACCGACCTGAATTTTTTTCTATTAGTTAGACTACAATTTTAATATCTTCTGTGCATTCGTTATTCATTGATTAGATTTATACAATAAACCGTGTTCTATCTCTCATAGAAATAGTGGTGTCACAATTAGTAAAAATTATTTACTTTAAAGACACAAATCATCAGTTTATAGAAATTATTTATTTAGAAAACATATGACGTCACATTCTATTAATAGAATTATACAATTAGTAAGATAAATTAATCAAGTGTGTGAGTACACGAAGATCATTTCTGTAAAATTATTTCATTTTAGTATGATAAAATTTATTCTATTTTACTTTTATTTTATTGATTTTACTTTTCAAGTTAACATTTTATATTCTTTGTGACATTGAAATTTTTCAAGTTTCTATATGCATTCTATAATAATAAAATTACATAATTTTTTTTTTTATAAATTACATTTAACTATTTTTGTTGGATATTATGTGTGATATTAAAAGTGATAATTACATTGTTTCAGCCTATATATATACATATATATTAAGTGTTGTCTATATAATACTCACAAGAGACTAAAGTTAATTTATAAAAATGAGGAACTTGAATTGTGGTATATTTCATATATTTTATTTAATGACCATTTTTTCAACAATCCAAGGTGGTGAGTATTATTTTTAAATTCACATTAAGTGAATCTATTGGAATCGAAACTTAAATTCCAATTGTTTCATAGATATTTTTATCAAATATTTTGACAGTACATTAATCAATCAACTGTCCAAGTGAAGATTAGCATGTTAGATTTAGAAATATTTAAAAAAAGATTAAATAAATAATTAAAATGATTTACTGTTTCACGTATATGTTATAAGTTAATTCTATAAATTCTTTTGGAATTCAATTAGTATGTTTAAATTGAAATTTTCATTGAAGATTGTCCTTCAAGTCGTATAACACTTAAGTTTTATTTAATTCAGTTGTGTATTATTACCCAAAATAATACGCTTTTGTTAAAAGATTATGATAACATTTGATGTGATTATTTGTGGAAAAAATTCTTTTGTCATTAGAAATTTTAGAGCTTTGAAACTTTTTGTTAATCTATAATTAACACCTTTATGATTAATATTTTTCTAAAATGCTAAATTGTAATTAATTATAAATAATTGATCTTTATAAGTAATAATCTTTATGTTAATATAAATCAACAGTAATAATGAATATTTAATTTATTCTAATCAATTTTCATTATTCAACTTTTATGAATACAAAAAAATGAAACGTAGGTATGATGAAGACAAAGATAAATTCAATAATAGTTTGGGAATACATGTCTTTAAACTTTCTAGAACAAAACGTTTATTGTCGTTAATGAATTTTAATTAATACACACTATTTCTATTTCAATTAAAAATTTTTCATATTATGTACAAAATAAAATCTAAGGAATATTAATTGATAATTTTTTTTAATTATTTATAAATTTAAATCAAATTGCTTTCAAATTCAAATATAATTTATTTTCATATAAAAAATTATTGTCATTTTACAACATATTATGAAGCTTTTCAATAACTTGTAGAAACTATTGTTCAGAATTATAAGTGGTATTTGGATGATTCACTTGCTAAAAATAAAAAACCTAAAAGTCATACGTTTTTGTTTCAGTAACATACCATGGATCGACTGAAGTACAAGAAGAAAATCCATGGAGTATTGAATGCAGAGGTCTCAAAGCAGATGATAAAGTATCTTGGACGCGAAATGGTCAACGTCTTGTTGATGAACTAGGATCGGGTGATATTACAGTCACGAAGATTGACAATGGTGCAAGTTTGTTAAAGTCACAACAAGCTAAAGATTTTCATGAAGGAAATTATAAATGTATACCAAATAGTAATGTTACTTTTCACTTGACTGTTAAAAGTGGTAAGTTATTTTTTTATTATGATATAATAATAAACATGTCAAATGTTTATATAAGCTAATATACTATAGTCTTCTTATAAATGATAATTAAAAAATATTTCTTCATAAAAGAGTGATCATTCAATGACTAGTTAATAATTAACAAAGATTTTTGTTAATAGCAGCATAATTTGTTCAGTAAATTGATCAATTAATTTTTACGTATGACCAAAGCAATGATATAACTTAAGTGGTTAGATGCAGATAAATTTGTCTGAGCAATGCTTTATTTGAAAATATATAGTTGTTCTTTCAAATTCATATACAATTCATTTTCAAGCAATTGGAATTGCGTGTAAGTTATATCATTATAAAAATTAGACATTATAGACTTCACTACTAATTAAAGATCAATTAGTGTAATTTCGGCCTGCAATTAGTAAAATATGTTTTTGACAGCTTTCGACACATTTATAGAACTAATCGAAACATGTATATTTATTTGACTAGTTTAACATCTTGGGAATAAGTAACATTAATTAATGTTTGCTAAGTCAAATTGCCGAAGAAAATGTAATTGAAATAGTAGTTTACAAAATTTTTATCATGAAAAAAAGATTAATTCAATTTATATAGGTAGAGTTTATTTTGGGAGAATTTATTAAACATGAAAAATGATTCATTTTACATTAAAAATGATATGTTCCTTTACAATAATGCTTTTTTCATTAGTCATTGTGAAAGTAAAATTAGACATCTACTATGTTCTTATACAAATAAACAAATAATCAGTTAATGCATGTATAATATTATTTATTCAGGTTTGAAATTAATATTCAATAATTTAAAATATGTTAGATGATTTTTTTGTCTTTTATATTGAAGCTGTGGATTGTGCTAAATAAATAATCGCGATAGTTGTGTGATAATAAGTCGATAAGATAAAAAACGTGATTGCAATATTAACTAGAAAAATCATAAAAAATAAAAATTAAGGTGCCTTGAGGGATAATAAAGTAATTATGGGAAAGTAAATAGATGAAATTTGAAAAATATTTTCGTCTTCATTTACAAATATTTTTTCGTAATTTTATTCATTAATTTGTTTATAATTACTGTGCAACATTTAATCTTATTTTTACACATATGTATTATCAGTTATTTGTTCGGGCAACTAAACCAATAAATAGACATCACTTAGAAGAAAGTCAATTCACTCGAATTATTAAATGATCAGAATTAAAATAGAATAAAATATTTTGTATTTGTAATAATTTTTTTTTTTTTTCAATTTTTTGGGCTTAGATGTTCATTCACTGGTATGTTCATTAGAATAACATTCCAACAAATCTATTCCTGCTAAATTCGGTCATTCATAAATTGCTTGTGTACATCTGTTGTTCTATTAGGGGTTCAATACTGGTAGTATTGTAAACCAGAGGTGGGCATATATAATACTCAGCTTTCCAGGTATAGAGAAAGTTGTTATTTACTTGCACTCATTAATATTTCCAGAGTCACTGAAATTTTAGGCTTCCTTGTAGTCAAATTTTTTCCACCTCTGATGTATATTGTAATACAACATTCGAGTTTAATAAATTGTAACTAAACTCATGATTTATTATAACTTGTTTAAGATCCCATCATTTATAATCTACATATTTAAAATGATAAGATACTCATGAAAAAATACAAAATGAATTTACCCTATAATAATATATTCAAGATATAACTATTTACCTGTAAATTATAAATTTATATTTTTTTATTTCAATGAAACTGAATTTTAAAGACCAAATTATTTTATGTTTTCAGTTACAAAGATAAAAGTTATCCCGCCAAAAGAGGAATTACGCATTGAGTGTGAAAATGTTACTTCTGGTGATGAAGTAGTATGGAAGAAAGATGGAGTAGATGTAAAGCAAAAATTCGCATCAAAAGATGGTTTGGTTGAAGTTGAAAACAATAGTGGAGTTTTAAAAATTCTGAAAGATCATGCAGATGTTTTGGGTCTTTATAGTTGTAATACTTCTTCCAATGCAATGACATCTATACGAGTTGTTGGTAAGATGAAAACTAATTACTATTACTTACAATATAAATTATATTTATATTTAATTAAATTGATTGAAACCAAAGAGAGAATAATTCGATCATCAAAATTATGAAATCGTTATTTTTCAGCATAACTTAAAACTCCACGAAATACTCTTGGGGTAGTTAAAAAGAATTAGTGGCAATAGAAATTAGTTTGCTTTACCCTTTGCTTAATACCAGGCAAAAAAAGTAATTACCAAAAAACTACTTCAAAATTTGTTTTTCGTGATTAATGTAAATTTTACAAGATACAGAAAAAAGTTTCAAAAAATATCAAAGTTCTTTAAATTTCACATAAAAAACGTCAATTGGCTACACTTTATATCTATTATAGTTTAGCTGTAAAACTACAATAAAAAATTTATTTTCAACATTCTTTCCTTTTTATGATACTTTTGCAACTTAATTGTGGAAAAGAAAAGGTACAAATCTGCTCACCAGATGTTTTAGACAAAATTATTTTCATGTGGCAAACTTAGATTAAAAAAAAAAAATAGTTCTAAAGACAAAAAATAGTCTGCCTGTAAGTCAAAGGTGGGTAAGAATTACCTGCAAAGGAGCCTAAATTTTGGGTTACTCTGTAAACATAAATGAGTTTGAGTAAAAGAAAACATACCTGAAGAGTTGTTCCGGTTCTGAAGAACCGATTTTTTTTATTTTTTTTGGAAAGCCAATATCTCGTGTTGAGGACCCAAGTTTTGCTTAAATCGATTTCAATATTAATCTTAAAATTTAAGTTCTCTGTTAAATCCTCAATAAAATCAAATAATCAATATATTTGATATTATATTACAGCTCCACCAACAGCTAAAATCTCTGAATTCGTGAGTGTTGTCGAAGGTGAAAAGCTTCATTTAACCTGTTCGGGATCACATAGTCCAGGAATCAAAATAAGCTGGCTTTTTGCTGGAAAAAATTACACCAACAGCGATGGGCGTGTACAATTGATGCGTGATGAAGATCGTGGAATTAATCGTGCAGTATTAAATGTGGATCACATTGAGATGAGTGATCGTGGTGATGTCACATGCTGGGCATTGTACGACTCTGATGATATGCAATACACTGCTCATTCAACAGGAACACTCAGAGTTAAAGATAAATTAGCTGCATTATGGCCATTCCTTGGTATTTGTGCTGAAGTTATTGTTCTCTGTGCTATCATTCTGATATATGAAAAGAAACGCAACAAATCAGAACTTGAGGAGTCTGATACTGATCAAAGTCCTGACACGTGAGTTATCTTTATTTTATTTATTGTATTTATATTATATTATTTATCATTTGATTAGCATAGTTTAATGTATCAGTAAATTAACAAGAGGCTTAGAATTATATGCCTATATAAATGAATATTTTTTCAATAATATTAAGAATGAAGTGGATGATTTTACTGATAATCATGAAACTTCATTAAATCTTTGCTAAGATAAAAACACCAATGCTTGATAAAAATGTATCAAAAAATTAGCAAAAAATAATATTTTTTTAAATTGATTTGATTAAAAAAATACAACGGAATTGAGCATTAGTGTATGTATTTACTTTTATTTATCATGGTTATTTATTTTATTTTTGTTAAAATTAAAGAAAATTTTTTTTTATCTGTTAAAAGCATGAAATATTGGTTATTAAGATGAAATTAGAAAGATAATTCTGAAATAATTTTTTTTTTCAAAAAACAACAGGAAACCAACGCCTAACAAGGACTCAGATGTGAGACAAAGAAAATAAAATGTAAAAATTAAGTGTCACATTGGAGAGGAAGTCAATACAATGTCAATGGTTTCAGTATAACTTCCAAACTTATAATAAAATAGCTACTTATTTCTTTCTAAATATAAAGTAAGAATAAGTTTAAAATAACAACTTACATACTCTACAATTTTTATTATTCATTAGTGATTATTCATTTCATTCATAGAACTATTAATAAAAAAAAAAGTTTGCTATAATTTCTAAAAGATAAAACATAACAAAGAAACAATTGTTTCTGATATATCTACTAATATTATCTGATATAAAAACTTTGGATATTTCTTATGATGTGTAGGTTTTTACCACAATTGCAATGAAAACAAATAAGATGCTTTTTCAAAGTACGTACATTATATATTGATATGAAATAATTATTATGTGCACTGTTAGAATTATTATTATGTGTATACATAGGTTAATCGATATTAAAAATTTTAAATTTATTCAAAACTGAGTTTTTTCTGTATGTAACACATAACAAAGAAACATTTAAATTCATTTTAACATCCCATCGTTTTTGTTAAATGCCAAAATGTTATTCTATTTTTTAGAACATATATCTTCAGATGTTGAGATAATATTAGAAGATGGTTATGGTACTTGAATATTAATTATTAAAAGAGTGAAAAACAAATTGTTTACATCTTTTATCATTATTCATTATTTTACTTCAGATTTTTTTCAATGTTAAAACAGTTATATTAATAGCACATTATATTATTTTCAATTGAAATTATCATTTCATTTCTGTAATGTGATTGATAAAAAATATATTTAAATTAAGGATATTTTTTTAATTCTTCATTAATCCATGGGTTATTTTCTGAAAAAGTTGAAACTTTGACGTGATCATTCGTCCTATTAATTAAAAATCCATACAGATACGGATTCTGTTCGTAATCTGGGCATATTAATGGATTATAATGTGAATATGACTTCCATGAAAAAAAATAAAATTTTATTTAGTTAATTGAATGTGTATTCATTTTGATGAATATTTTTAAGTGAGTTATGAAAAATAATATTGCTTTACCTGATTATCGGGATGATAGATTTGAAAGCAGTTCATTTCGAATAGAAATACTTTACATTTGTCATCAATAATAAAATATTTGTCAGCATGTGGAGAAAATGGAACATGTTCTGAGTATGTATATCCAAAAAATTTACAGCATTGTGGTTTGGTGATGGAATAAACGTACTCAAATTGAACTTCATAACCATTGTGCATGTTTCCTTTGGTATCTATGAAAATGCATCGAGTTGGATCACCTGCATCTTCACGATATTTGTGTTCGTAAATATATGAACCAGTATTTTTGACAGTGACGAATGAATTTAAATGTATTGATTCAGAAAGTATTAGTAAGTTGACATCGTTTCTTCCTACTTCACCCGGGTTCAGTTGCTGAAAATTCATCATTTCTGATACGGAACGTTCTTCATAAGCTACATGTTTAGTTATGTTTCTGTTGTGACTCCAGTTATAAAATCGAACTGATGTGACATCTTGAAATCCCATTCTGCAATGAATGAAATTAGATTTGAGTTTTTCAACTGATTCAACAAATCATTTATTTAAAAAACAATTTGACACATACAAGATTGTAAGTAACATTTTGGTAAAATCTAAAATCTATTTCATCACAATAACAAACTCAATAAATCAAAGCTAAGCGAAGCTTACTCTTGCTGCTATTAATGTTCTTTAAATAGGTTTGCACATACTGAAAGGCTCAGTAGAAAAGATCCTGATTTTCCTGTAATCTGTTTAGAAAAAATCAAAATTTTTCCATCTATAGAATAAACTAAATAAGATTAAAATAAGTAGATGAAATTTTAAAGTACATTTTGTGCAACCTCATAAAAAATAAAATCATTTGTTTTAAAGTAAGCAGAGTAATAAGTACTTGATAATAAAATAACTAATTATAATATGCAGTTTTTTCTACAAATTTTTATTTAGTTTATTATTCACTTTATATTGAACTAATTGAAATAAATAAACAATAATTTAAGATATTCAGCAACATTGCTTTAATAAAATTGAATGTAAAATATGGGAGACATCACATCAATATTGACTAGTAAATTCTACTGTCTCTTATAGATAATTATTCTGTCATTTTTTTTTTTTTTTTGAATTTTTATTTAGTTCTGCTATTCTACAAATTGTATACACTGTAAATAGAAACTTTATATTGTTGTTTTCATTGAATTTTACTTACGGTACACATAATGCAGAGACCACTACAACTTTTGGATTAACCACAGCACCTAAACACTTAAATTCATAATCAATCTTCGATGAATTTTGTTTTGGAGTAGAAAAAATTGCAGCAAACCAGTCGGGATGAACTCCTTCAGTTTCGAGTGGATCATTGTGAGGACCACAACAATAAGATAGCTCTACAAAGCTAATAATAATTAAAAATATTAGAAAATGGCTAGAAAATCGATTCATTTTTATAGAATTTTTTCAGACAGACAATTATGATTATATATTTGATGTATGTTAATTGAAAAGTTTTTTGGAACCTAAGTCAGTTAGACATCACCATTTAGTATAATGAATACTTTATGTTAGTTTAAGAAAAATGTTAGGATTTAACGATGTCGAAAATAATGATAAATCATTTTAACAAATGGAGAATTATCAGAAAAATATTTTCTTATGAACTTGTGGAAATATTTGAATAACAATGTGCATTCTGATAAGATAAAACAATCATTAAATGATAGAAAAAATGGTTAAAAATAATTTAGCATTTCCTTGGAATCTCATATCATGATTACATTGTTGTAAATTCAATTTTGAAAAATTCATCATGATCATGAATGTTTTTTTTGCTGTTAATTATCCAAATTTATATAAAAAAAATTTTTTGAAAAAATTACAATTTGTCTAATGATAAATTAAAAGTTCAATGAAACTGTTATTAAACCTAGAAATTTGGTTTTACAATTGACAAAAGGTGAATTAATTTAATTAAAAAGAAAAGATTTAAAAATAATTGAGAACAGAAGTAAATAAGTTAATATCATTACAGTTTATTGTATTAAACACCAAAATATCATAAGTAAATACAATAATAAATATAAAGATTGACAATGGCTTAAATATACTATTTATTACAATAATTTTTAACAATATGGAATATTAATTGTTAAATAAACAAATTAAAAAACTATTTACATATTTACATTTTGTTTATAAACAGTAATTTACATGTTAACAATTCAAAAAAAATGAAGATAATGAATAAACAAAACAATGTAGTAAATTTACATGTATTTATCGAACAAAATCATTTATTAGTACTTTTTTGTCTTCGTCATTTAATAAAGCAATAATGTGCTCAACGCATTCATTTGGCAATGATGGCAATTTTGTTTCTTCAATGAAGAATTTCATTAATTTAAACATGAGATTATATTCTTCTTTTTTCGTAAGAGCAATCGTCAGTTTATTTTCAATTAATTGTGCATACTCAGGAAATCTACTTGGAAATTGCAGCATTATCTTGAGGTCTTCAAGAAGATCATCATTCCGAATTATTTTTGCAGCTTGTTCATCAGTACTTCGAAGAAAGTGATAAAGTGTGATGTAGCTGTTGCTGATCCTAGTTTCTTTGATGAATTTAAGTTCATCGTCGATAATTTTGCTGAAATCGTTGTCCAATTTTAATATATCATTGCTGTTCTCCATCAGAGTTCTTGGGCCAACAGGAAGTCCTATTTGATCAAGCTGATAAACATAGTGCTGCAGTAACCGGAAGGTTGCAAGTTTCAGCATGGAAACCATTTCGGAGACATCACTTTCTAGATTGTTACTGCTGTTCACCCGTATATTTAGAGAAACTATCTGATTTTGACTGAGTTCTAAAGGCGTCATATTTTTGATGTTGACTTTATCTACTCGTGCTCCGTGTGCAAGTAGTACCTGGACAACACCAGGGACTCCGACTTTGGCAGCAAAATGAAGAGGGTAATAATGAGTATTGCTTGTTTTTGTGTTAATTTTTGCACCCTTCAAAATGAACAGCTTGACAATTGTAGTTTTGGTATTATTTACATGCCAGTTTAAATGGTTATGGAGCCAATCTGCCTGTTCCATTATTGCATAGTGAAGTACTGTATAATTGTGTGGATTAACGTCTGCTACATTTGCCCCATGATTTAAAAGAAGGTGGATGATACACAGGTTGTTCTTTCGAGCAGCAATCAATATGGGTGTGTTTCCATCATAATCACGAAGATGGATGTTGGCACCATATTCCAAAAGTAGCCGAACGATATTTGCTTCTTCGACTTTTACAGCATTATGCAGTATAGTTCCATCTTTTCCAAATTGAGAAATAATTTCAAAATTTGGATCGATACCCAGTTGTAGCAGATTCTGGACAGCTTCGTAATGACCGTCGTCAATAGCTGCGAGGATCAGTTCAGGGGTGATGTCAGCTGGATTCAACGTAAATCCGTATCCGTAAAGCATCCTGACCAATTCTTTTGAATAACCAGAACGTAGACAGATTGCTTTTGCAATTACTTGCTGATGCTGATAAAGATTAACACTCGGTCTGTGTGCCAGGATACATCTGACTATAATAATTTTTCCTTCTGTCACAGCATAAGTCAGAAGAGAACAGTCCTCTGTGATGAGAGTGTCAGGGCTGATTTTATTTTCCAGAAGATAGTGAATGACTGGAAATCGATTATATTTGATAGCTAAGTAAATTGGCGGCATTTTTCTAGGGGATATGGCAAAAATGTCGGCTCCGTATGCGATTAGAAGTATGACCATAGCACAACTTCTTGAAGTTAAGGCAAAATGAAGTAAAGAAGAGCCTTTCCAATTACCATGAAGAAAACATTGGTTTGGATCTGCTTTACTTTCAAGCAATAATTTCACCATTTTAATGTCGTTTACGAGCAAAGCCATTTGGAGTGGAGTGTATTCTTCGACATTGTCTCTTGATTCTGTAGCTTTTAGAAATTCTATTGACTCCATCATTTAAAATTAATGTACAATGACACTTTACACTTGAAGTTTGAACCCTTGGAACTTATCACTATTTTTTAGTAACAACTTAACAAACAAATTTAAGTTATTACACTGCGAAGGCTGAAAGCTCTTTGATGGAGGTGCTAAGAATTGAAGAGCCTCTATCTCAGCCGAAGACCTTTGTGCTGCATGGAGGGGATTTTGGGTCAGTAGTGGAAATATGTGAATGAAGAATGAAGAAATGCAATTGGTAGTTTGAAAAATTGACCCCACTTTACTAAACTCAAAGATTATTGCCTTTTTTCATTTTTACGGTACAAACGCTATTTTTCTAACGTTTTTGACATTTGATTATGGATATATAAATTTATATTTATTTTTCAAAGTCTTTATAACTGATTGATTCTTACATGGATATAATCTATTTAAAAATTATCTTTAAGATAATATGTTTCTCAAAAAATAATCTGTTCTTCCATCATCTTCTAATATAAAAAGAGTATTGAAAGAAAAGAGATTGCCTTGAGTATTAATACTTAATAAACTGAAATATTAATTAACATTTCAGTTCATTTGAGATAAAGAAAAATATCTATAATCTCTTTAACACAAAAAATAAAAAATAGTAAATTATGTAATGAATAATCATTTATATAATTATGAAATTATTAATTTAATAACAACTACAATTAATATTCAATTCATTGGACCAAATGATTTATAACTTCTAAGTGAATTTATCATAAAAATATCAAAAAACATACATACTAAAGTAAATGATAATTGTTAATAAACGTTATAATTAATTGTTCATAAACGTAATATACAAATTGAAGAACTTAGGATTCTAAGTTTGTATATTATCATATCATTGCTTGGTGACGAGCATGACTGTTGAACAATTATTCAGTAAACTTGAAAATTCTAAAACAGGCATGGGCAACGTTTTTTAAGTCAAAGTCCCTTTTAAGATTAAGAGTACTCGTACAATAAGATCCACAATGAAAATTATATTAAGTAACTCAGGTACTCAGTCACAGGGACTTCGAGAAGTCCCACTTATTACCCATGCCTGTTCTAAATTTTAGACTAATGGATTTCTATAATATGTTCAAAAGTACTACATTGTTCTTCAGGTAGTTTTCTGCTATCCCCAATTTCAATATTCCGTTGCAGCAAAAGGTTATGATGGCCATTGTTGGAAATCAGCGTCTCCGACATATTTGAGTGTATAGGGCCTGTACGAGTGTTCGGCCCTAATCGGTTTCCCCCGTAGCCTTTCGGCTAACGTCTCTCGTCGTGCTCTTCACTTGATTCAAGTTGGTCGTCTATTACGGTTCAATAATATATTCATTGATAAATAAAGTTCTAATTTCTAATTAAACTAAGTCTTATTATTATTGTTTAAATCCACATAACCTCTAACAGGTTATGGGCCCAGAGCTCGCTTTCACTGAGCAGATTAATAAAGTGTTTGTTAAATTATAAAAGGTGTAGTATAGAGAAACGTGTAAGTGATTTTGGAAAATCTAACAAAGAAGACTTGCAGTTTCAATGGCTGAAAAACAAAGACAAAGAAGGATCGACAGTGTCGTCGAGTTGGTATCAGTTCTTTTAAAGTAAAATGAACAAGAAAATTAATGTATACATTATTAAATGAAAGGCGGTTTGACGAGTGATGACACGGTTTGGAAAATAGTCAACGAGTGTCCAATGTTTAGCTAAAACAAAGAAATCATTGTTCATTTTACTGAATAAAGGTTATTTAAATCTAGGCCTAGTATAAAAATATCATGATTAAGTACAAATAAATTAGAAACTAAGCACGATCGTGCGGCGAGGTTTGGCTTGGCGGGAATTTGAGAGTCCATTGTGACGACAATTGACGAGTTGTGCGCATGATCAGACAGTTGAACGGGAAAACGAGTGCTAGACAACGAGCGAAGGAATGTAGATGATAATAATAAACAAACAAATGAAAGGACGCATTACTGGCTCTTTGTCTCGAACTACGGGCCAAATTCTCGCTACACTAAATTAAATAAAAGTTGATCAACTATAAAATATATGTTTGCATGTAAACTAACAATTCTTTTCATTCCTACAGCTTTTGAAATAGACACGTTAAATGAAATGCTTGATAACATGACATTTGAAAATGTTATGGTCAAGCTGGAGGGTGTGTTTATGCTTAAAGCAAACCACCCAAATGAGGAAATTGAGTTATCCCTGCATGAAAATTATATTTCACTAAAAACTCAGACGAGTGTTGAGTACAAAGCAGGTGAGCGAAGGGTATTTTTATTTTATTTTTGAAATATTTCCAAGAAAATATGTATAGCTATACAAATGAAATTATAATTAAGATGCATCGTAAATTTAATTATTAAAAATCTCGAGTAACTGTGCATATTTAAAGCACGAATAATAAAAGACCTATGAATGTCTGAAGACATTCTAAATAATAATTTTTAAACCATTAAAATCAAATTACTCATGCTTGGTGGTTGAGTGCCGTGCATTTGGCTACTATGTATGAGAGTAGAGTTTGTATATGTGTAACCTTGTGTTCGGGTAAATGTATACTTGCTCGTCTTAGTCTGGAGAAACTTGTGTTCGGTGGATCCAGCTAACGACATGATTTAAAATCCTGCCAAATGTCAGATTTTTATTCTTTCTCAATATATTGCAGCTAAAACATTTGTTACCAAAGAGGAGTTGAAAGCGCTAGAAGTATGGCTGGACAAATGTAAGAAACAGGGTGTGAAAGCTGTGCTGCCGAGTACTGTAAAGAAACAGGAAATAGTTGATCCTGTAGAGGAACAATGGTTGGCTACGAGAATCAGCAACGACAGAACGAATGACGACAGTAGTGGTGACGACGGAAAGAGTGACGAGAGAATCAGTAACGACAGAACGAATGACGACAGTAGTGGTGACGACGGAAAGAGTGACGAGGGAACTAGATATGACGGAACTAGTTATAAGAGGAGTGTCAACACAACGAGAGCTATGATTCATAATGTAGAAGGAGATAATATAACTCAGTTGGCCACTGAGACAAAAGGTAAAGGTCTACCTAAAATAATTGAGACAAAACCGGTAAAAATATCTCTAAAGAAATTTAACGTTCCTAAACTATTGAATAAATCTGACAATAAAAATTGTTTAGATGACACAAATACAGAAACTAAACAAAAGACTGACGAAAAGGCGACTGCCTGGATACCTTGCTTCAATGCCATGGACAATATGCTGTTGCAGCAGTCCAAAATGTTGGCTAGCTTAACTGAAACTATGAAAAGCATGGAGAAAAGGCAATCAGAAATTATGGAAGAGTTATGTCGTAACCGACAAAATATGAGTGATCTGGGTAAACAAGTAGAGAAAATCGAGTGTAATATAAAACAGGTAAAAGAGTGTGAACCTGATGTGAGTTGCATGACCCAGAACAGAAGCTCAGACATCAATCTGGGAGAACCGAGTGGTCACAATTTAAATAGCAATGTAAGACAGAATGACGACAGATACGTTAGAGCTGATGATGTTAAAGATGCAATAAAGTATGAGATAATAAGTAAAGATGTGGGTACGCGCCGTGATTACAAATTAACTAATCAAACGAAATTTGAATACTTTTACGATTATTTTTCTTCAGAATTGAGATCGCTTGAACTATTGTATGTAATTGACACGAGTGAAAAACCGACTAAAAATTATGATGCAAATACTTTGACAAAACATAAATTCAAAGTGCGTGATATTCTCATAAATCGTTTAGAGTCATACTATCACACAAAGGTAGCTCATTTAAAAGATCCTGTCGAAATACTAAATAAAATAAAAGAATTAAAACGATATGAGGTGAATTTAACTACTAGTATGATTAGAAGGAATTTTCACACCATGCAGTATTCACCAGATAAAGAGAGTGCTTCTGAGTTTTGTGAAAGGTTGAAAACTGCATACGCGATTATGGGAATATCTCAGACACTGCGACCTTTTCTGAGGAGGAAAAACGCGACACATTTATAATGCTATTATGACCACGGTTCCTTCTGTTCAAGCTGTTGAGTTTATAAGAGTGAGTGGGACTGGTAAGGGTTTAGATTATGAGAGTCTGAAAATGTTTTTGATGCAGGCAGAGGCAAATCGAAATCAGACAAAATCAGGAGAGACCAGAGCAGCAATGACAGTTAAGAAAGGTACGAGTGCGAGATGTTATGAGTGCTCTGATTTTGGTCATATCAGTTATGATTGCCCCCGAAAAGGAACAGGTGTTGTGAAATGTTACGAGTGTAATAAGTTCACAAACCATAAGGCTGACGAGTGTCCTCAAAGACAGGAAAGACTAAAGAAGCAAGGATCTACGAGTGGTCGAGTTTATAAAGAGGTAATGGCAGGTATAATTACAATAAAAACTTACAAAAATCTGGACAGATTAACGACAGACGACAGACATTGAAAAGGAGAAATGACGATAATACGAGAGGTTATAATACAAGAGAGGCAGATTCAATCAAAATAAAGGTCGAGGTGGCTACAAATATGTTAATAAGAACTTCAAACAGCCCAAATCAAATAATGATGGGAATAAGAAATCAGCTGATACTGCAAAGGGTAAGTCATTCTTGGCTGATATTAACTCTAAGTTAAGAAACGATGATATTTTACACGAGTATAATGATGATAGAGAAAGAGTAAATAACGAAGGTAGATTAGTAGCCAAGTTCTTAGCCGACTCAGGTGCGACAGAACATCTCACAAATTCTAGAATAATTTTTAAGACCCTGGACGTAAAAGACTACGGTACAATAAAATGTGCTAATAAAAATCCTTCAGCGGACCTGAGAACGGAGGGAGTAGGCCAGGTTGAAGTAATCCTGGACAATAACAAAGTTATGAAAATTGATAACGTTATATTTGCGGAGGCTCTTTCTGATAATCTTATGTCCCTGAGAAAATTCGCTGAAATGGGGATTAGCAATATATTTAGATAAGAAAAGGATAAATATATTTGATCCAGTCTCGAATGAGCTATTCATTACAGGTGTTTATAATAAACCCTATTGGATTATTGAACTGGAAATCAATCGAGATACGGCTGGAAACGAGAGTAATATATGCGAAAGATCTAACAAATATATTTTAGCTGACTTGACGAGTGATTACAAAACAACTGTAAATGAAGCAAGATGTATGTGGCGAAACATTGCGACAGAAGACAAAACGAGTGCTGAAGAAAATTTTATTAACCGAACAGATATGAGCGAAAATGATAATGAGTGTACGAGAGCAAAGAAATCAAAAACAACAGATGAGACGATAGACGGTACAGAAAGAGTGGAAACGATTGAGAGCAGGCAAGAGAAAACGGGTGAAAACAAACGAGTGGAAGCGTGTGAAGAGGTACGAGTGAACGAATGGGGAGAACAAAGTACAGACTGAAGACAGAGAAAGGAAGACCAATAGTAATACTCTGACTGGATACACTGAGTCAAGTATCACTGATGATCAGAATGTAAACATGAAAAATAAAATGTATCAAAACTTTAACTTTGAAACAACCATATGGGATAGGAAAATTAACGATCCAAATGAATTGCCAGTAACAGAAACAACAGATATTGAATCTCCATTAAACGAGTGTAATAATAAAACAAATTATGACAAAGCAATGTTATGGCACGTCAGGCTGGGGCATGCTTCAGTAAATTATTTAAAGGCATTGCAAAGAAAATTACCCGAGAATAAAGAGCTTCAGAAGATCGTGTTCGATCAATCGATCATGGATTGTGAGATCTGTATGGTTTCTAAAATAAACAAGTTGCCATTTAAAACAGTGCGTAGACGAGCGAATGCTCCACTGGAGATTATACATTCAGATACGATGGGACCAATTAGTCCACCTTCTCATCCTAAAGGATACAAATTTATATCTGTATTCATTGATGACTATTCGCGATTGGCAATGGCATATGCGATGAAAGTTAAGAGTGATACGGGTGCTTGCTTTGAAGCATTTGTGAAGAGTGCGCGAAATCTGCTAGGAAAAGATGCCAAAGTGTGCTATTTACGCTCTGACCAGGGAACTGAATTTAAAGGTGGTTATACGACAGAGGTTTTAAATAAATTAGGTGCAGAGTTACAGGTCTCTAGTCCTGATACCCCTGAACATAACGGTGTTGCAGAGCGGTTTAATCAGACTATACAGAAGAAGGTGCGAGCCTACATGTATGATGCAAAATTACCCGAGAACATGTGGGATTTGGCTTTGAGTGCAGCTGTCTATGCCTATAATAGGACCCCTCATAAAGCAAATGACATGATAACTCCTATGAGTAGATTTGCACCAAATCATAATTTTGATATAAACCAACTTAAACGTTTTGGCTGTATTGCCTACATTAAAGTTCAACGGAAGACTGGACCAAAGTTCCGTTTCGAAGGAAGACGAGTGGTGTTAGTTGGCTATACTCCCACTGGGTACCAATTTTTAAAACCTGAAGAAGGAAAATTTTACGAGAGCAGAGATGTGCGATTTAACGAGAAATTGGTTTATGGCGACAAATACGGTAAAGACAGCATTAGAAACTGGCCAATTGAAGAGTGGAAAACAGAAAAAGACAAATGGTTTGTGGAATTCTCTGAAAATATAAACGAATGTACTAATAAGTTAAAAACGGAGGGAGAGATTCCAATAAAAAGAAAAAGAGGAAGACCTAGGAAAAATCCTGTAATAACAGACACGAATGTGACGAGTGATAACATAATAACAAATAATAATGGGCAGAGTGAATTAAGCATGAGTGATAGAGAAATTGAAGGTAAAATTATGTTTACATCTAAACTAAATGACGACTATGATAGAAAAATAGAAAACCTAGAAGATGAAATGTATTGTGCAATGCTGGCAAGAATAAATGAGGATCCTGCTACCTACAGACAAGCCATGTCATCGAGTGAATCTATTTACTGGAAAGAAGCAGTAGATAATGAGTTGAAATCAATGTCGGAAAATAACGTGTGGGAAATCATTGATCGACCAAAACTAACGAGTGATGGTAAACGAGCGAATATAATTGATTCTCGATGGGTATTTAAAAGGAAAGTAAAGGATGATGGTGAAATAAGACACAAGGCAAGACTGGTTATACGAGGGTTCAAAGACAGAAACGTCTACGAGCTGAAAGAGACTTATGCTCCGGTGTCCAGACTACCACTAGTTCGAGCTGTGCTGGCCATTATAAATAAATATGATCTGGAAGTTTGTCAGCTAGATGTGCAAACTGCTTTCCTCAATGGGACGATTGATGAGGAAATTTTCATGGAAATACCTGATGGAATTGAAATAAGTGATACCGACAGACGAGAGAAAGTATGCAAACTAAACGAGCGTTATATGGTTTGAAAATAAGTCCAAAACGTTGGAACAAAAGGTTTACAGAAGTAGCTCTAGGTATAGGCCTGATTAATTGCAATGAAGAACCATGTTTGTTTACCTGGCGGAATAATAAGAAGTTTTTGATTTTACTGTTGTACGTTGATGATATTTTAGTTGCAAGTAATGATGAGAATAAACTGAAAGAAGTGAAAGAACGATTAAAAAGTGAATTTAAAATGACAGATTTAGGTGTACCCAAAAGAATTTTTGGGTATTGGTATAACGAGAGATAGGAAAAATAAAATATTGGTCCTGAATCAAAAACGGTACATAGAGAAGATACTGAAGAGATTTAATTTTTCAGAATCACATCCACAGAAAACTCCTATGATTACAACACAGGCGGCCAACAGAGAACGAAAGCTTAGAGAAGAGAGTGAGGATCCAGAGCTGCTACGAGTGACAAAAACGAATGAAAATATTCCGTATAGAGAAGCTGTTGGAAGTCTATTGTATCTGGCTGGTGCAACACGACCAGATATAGCTTATGCAGTCAATGTGCTAAGTAGACATCAAATAAATCCAGTGGATAATGACTGGAAAATGGTGAGAAACGAGTGTTTAGATATTTAAAAGGAACGACGGATGTAGGACTGAATTATTTGTCTAATCAGGATGATCTAAGAGCGTATTCGGATGCTAGCTTTGCTGATTGCAAAGGCTCCATCACAACGAGTGGATTTTTAATACAACTGTATGGAGATACAATAGCCTGGAAGTCTCATAAACAAAATTATGTAGCACTATCGACTTGTCAGGCAGAATACGTTGCGATGAGCGAAGCAAGTCAAGAGTTGATTGCTATGAACAATTCTCTTAAAATAATCTTGGATCAATCATTTACTCCAATGCAACTATGGTGTGACAACAAAGCAGCTGAGGCGAGTGCACAGACGAGTGGTGGAAATAAGCTGAGACATATGACTGAAGTGAGAGAACACTATGTGAAAGAGTGTGTAGAAAGAAACTTCATTAAAATAGGCTGGATTCCTTCAAGGAATCAAATAGCAGATCTATTTACTAAACCTCTTCCCTATGGGACTTTTAAACGACTGACAGAAATTGTGTTGAACAAGACGAGTGACAATACTGAGTGACGAATGTAACGACTGAAACCATTTGAAAATTAATTTGTTTTAATTACAGGTAATGGATCTGATCAATCTAAAGAATGAGAGTTAAACGAGAGGAGAAACAGAAGTTAATGAGACGACCAATTGCCAAAGCAAGGAACCAAAAGACTGAATCTGTTCCTATAACTGGATTTAAGTTTGTTATTGTTAAAAAGTTCATATATATTTGTAAACATATCATATTTTGTATTTGAGATTTGAGACTTGACGCAAATATGTGAAGACGGGAGGGAGTGTTGGAAATCAGCGTCTCCGACATATTTGAGTGTATAGGGCCTGTACGAGTGTTCGGCCCTAATCGGTTTCCCCCGTAGCCTTTCGGCTAACGTCTCTCGTCGTGCTCTTCACTTGATTCAAGTTGGTCGTCTATTACGGTTCAATAATATATTCATGATAAATAAAGTTCTAATTTCTAATTAAACTAAGTCTTATTATTATTGTTTAAATCCACATAACCTCTAACAGCCATTTTCAAGAGAAAAATTTTACCTACTTTACTACTATACTAGTAAACTAGTTATACTGCCTCTTTCATTTCTCTAACCATTGTAGTCGTTTTCATTTTTCTTATTTCCTAATTTGTGGAAAAATTGAAAATTCTTGACTGACGTTAAATCATATTTGTCAAATTTATCTTGTTATGAGTAAGTTAGATATTGTTGGAGGATTTTTTTGACTTTTTTTACGCTTTGTTTAATTAAAAAATATTTTTATATTATTTGGAAAATTTATTTTCAGATATAGAAATAGTATTAGAGGATGACGATGTAACTTAGTAGCCGAAAAGTATTTATTATGTCCACATTTCTAGTAGCCAAATCAACGTCAGATTTAGATACTTTGTCCTACGTTTGTCATCTACGTGTGTAGTTGCTATTTTTCTGAAGCAACCAAACATAAGATTTTCGTCAGAAAATTTAACGTCAGACATGGCACCATAGTGCTTTGAAACATTTTTTTAAAAAAATGCTGATATTAATAAAATAAATAAATTGAACATATGTATACACTAAATAATTATTATCAAGTATAAAAAAATGAGTTGTGCATAAGTTATGAGAAATTTTAATGGAAAACTTTAGTGGTGACGCCGGCATTCTATTGTTCAAATAAGCCGAGACAGTTAAGCTGCTTGTTCTTCAGGTAATTTGCTGTCTCTAATCTCCGTTACAACACAAGGTTTTGATAGCAAATTTCAAGTGAAATATTTTACTTGCTTTATTACTATATTGCCTATTTCGTTTCTCATCATTGTAGTCGTTTTTCTTATTTCCCAACTTCTGGAAAAATTGAAAATTCTTAACTGACGTTAAATTATAGTTGTCAATTTATCTTATTAGTATTAGAGAATGGGTATGTAACTTAAATAGTAATTAATAAAACTAATTATGTCAATAGAACATTATTCAAAGTTACCATTGAAGTAACCATGGAAATTGTTTTTAGCAAGTTCACTTAGTTCTTAGCTTATAGAAAAAATTAAAAATCTTTTAGATTAGACATAGTAAAAAATTTATCTTGCTGGAAGTAAATCAGTTATCATTGGATTTCTTCAACTTTTGTAATTTTACGCTTTAATTAATAAAAAAATCTTTCTATGATTTATAAAAGACAAAACATAATGAAGAATCATTTTAATTTCTTTTAACATTAATTTATGCTCAGATTAATTTTTTTCTGCTACATAGTACGTCGTTGAATTATTTCAATACATATAACTAAAATGATTCATGATACCATTTCAATCTGATGAAGCAAGTATAATTGCTTTACATTATTTCATGTAATTAGGAATAATTTATTTGAATTGATTGTTTCTAATAAAATAGATTTAATTGATCAAATATCATCAACAATCGAAATTTAATTCAATTGATTAAAATAAAAATGCCAGTCTTCCAAAAATTTGTTTCAGTTATCGATTCTAATAATGAAAATGATTAACAAATATTATTTTAAAATATTTAATTTACAGTATTATAATCGCCTACGATAGATAAAAAGGTATAAACAGTTTTATTTTTGTAAACATAATTTAATAAAGATGCCACAAACCTTTTTTATCATTTGAGCTATGTTCACTCGTACATCTTACATATTCTAGTCCTGATATAATCAAAAGTAAGATCAGTAAGTAATTCAATGGTATCCTTTGAATCACAAAATTCTGATGTAATTAATGTATTGGATTCACGGTGAAATAGAAAGATAACTTAAGTAATTTCATCATCAAATAAACGCAGTCCCACAATGGAACTGGCTGTTTTGAGCTAATTATATGTAATTTATTCTTTGTGAATTAAATACTGCATAACGATACGTAATATTAATTAATTTAATATTGAATAAAAAATATATTTTCGTTTATCACTTAACTACTCCGATTTTTTCTCCCCAAAAAGTGCCCTTAATTCGGCAAGTGATCGTCCTTTTATCATATTTGCAACAGTTTTGCAAGAAACTTCCATGAGTCCTTTTACATCCAAATAATTAGCGGCCGCTATAATCTCAAAGAGAATTTTTTGGTCGACCTAAACAAGATGATTGATATCTTAATATTTTTAATCTTTTTTAGGAAATAATATTTTTCTAATATAATAAAGAATAAACCTTCAAAAAATTAGCATCCCACTCGCTAATATCATCACTTCGTTTCGGCACCATTATATCGTTGTCTTCTAGTGGTAACGGATCATCTTGATGATAAGTGGCCCATTCTATGACTTTTCTGAGAATAGTTGAATTGACTTCGGATAGAGGAATGATTTCATCTTCTCTATCATCATCTTGATCATCATTTGGATTCAAATCTTCCACCAGACATTTAATTGTTCCTGAGAGTTTGGCAATTTTGGTATCAACTTCGAAAATCTCACCATCATTGGTCTGCAGTTTGATGGTTGTCATCTATGGAAGTAAAAGTATTTATTTGGTCATCATTTTTTTAGATCAAACAATCGTTGTTAAAAATACACTTAGAATCAAGTGTAAATTGCATGAATTCATTATTGTGATAAAAATTTCAATCACCGCATCTTTGACGGGGTTACAGAGTAATATGTAAAAATGACATTATTCTTTACCTTGACCGAATTAATGTAGTTGTGATGTATGTTTTCAATATACAATAAAAATTTCGTATTATGTTTAAAATTGTTTTTTAAAAAAAATTACCATCTAAAATTGGAAGTTGCATGGTTATATTTTTCAGTTAAATGTCACACTATATGTAGAGAGAAGTCATTTCCCTATTTTGCATAAGAGGGTATAAGAAAATCGCATGTATAACCTTCAAAAAATTGAACACCATTTATGTCCGGTACTGTATGTTTTGCATGTATTCTTGTACTACAACTTGTACGTTTGTGTTGTAGCAAAAACGTGGTAGAAGGGATAAGAAATTAGTGGTGGGGAGCCCGAAAGCATTGAAGCAACTCTTTTGTTGTTCGACAATAATATCTCTATGGTTCAATTATAGCGTAATTTTAATTGAAAATGGCTCTATCTTGTGCAAGCAGAAAGAAGTCTTCTCTCTGGTGCAAGTAAGAAAATCCTAAAAATAATTTCAACAGTTTTATTTTTCACGGTATAAATATTATTAAAAATTTTACTTCAAAATTATAAAAATATTAACAAATAGAAGATACGTTATGTTATATTGTACCGGCAAGCTAACCTTAAAAATGAGCGTCTTTTCTAAATTATTATTATTATCATAATTTTTTATAGTCGGACTGAGAAGAGAGTTCCTTAGGGCGAGTTTCACCACATAGCAGACTGCTATTGTGTACCAACTTAAAATTTCAAAAATGAAAGAAATTACCATTTGTGCCATCTGGCGAGTTCTGGTGAAGTAACTTATGTTCTTGGAAAGAAATTTCAATATGGTTGACCGGCAAAAGTGATTGTAAACAAGAATAAGACTGAATAGGTAAATTTTACTCCTTATAACTTTTCTTTCACTTAATTCACTCATTAATCATCACTTATTGATAAATAAACTTCTTAATTATCTCAATATAGTGCAGGTAACTGCAATTTATATTAATTTTTCTCATAAATATTATCTGTATGCTATGATTTATTTTGTTCAGGAGAATGAATAATCTTTTGCTACTGATTCTTTTTGACGACGATGATGATGATGATATTGTCAGAAGGTCTCGGATAATTCGTCCTCGAATGAATTGGTTCGATACTTTTGATGACGAAGATTTTGTACAAAGATTTCGCCTAACCAAAGCAATGACAAGGGTAGTTTTTGAGCAAATAGAGGCAAGAATAACTCCTGACTCACCACTGTATGTAATAAATTTAATATTAAGCGCATATCAATAGATTATTTCTAGGCATTTCAATTTCATGTACATTCATTTCAATTTTCAGCAATAATGCGATTCCACCAATGATCCAGATGCTTGTAGCTATGAGATTTCTAGCTACTGGATCATTTTACATCACAATAGGAGATTTTACTGGTATTAGCAAAACTAGCGTTTGGCGAATCGTGCATAGAGTATCAGAAGCAATTGCTGGATTGAGGGAACGTTACATCTATATACCGCCTTCTCATCAAGAAATTAGAGCTATTCATAGTCAAAATTTTAGTCAAGCCGCCTTTCCTCGTGTCCTGGGTGCTATCGATTGCGTCCATGTTCGGGTTTGTTCGTATGGTATGTATACATATACAATAACTCATCTTGTTATAATGCGATATATACATACATGTATATAATTTCAATCAATTATGTAAACTATTACAATTTAAGGTATCAATATTACAGGTGGAGAGTATGCAGAGTTATTCCGGAATAGGAAATCGTTTTTTTCAATCAACACTCAAGTCATTGTCAATTCGAGATTGGAGATTATAGATATTGTGTCACGTTGGCCTGGATCGGCACACGATGCTACCATATTTGACAATTCTAGAATAAAAAGACGATTCGAAAACGGTGAATTCTATAACTCATTGCTTGTAGGTGATTCTGCATATTCTCAAGTGCCATTTATTATGACACCATTGCACAATCCTATGACTCCAGCTGAAGTCCTTTATAATGAGTCACAAATTCGAACACGAACGATGGTTGAGAGATGTTTTGGTGTTTGGGGACGAATGTTCGCCGTTTTAACTATAGGTTCCAGGTTTTTTAAATCAGAGTTGAGTATGCATGCAATAATTGCATCCGCTGTGTTATATAATGTGACAAGAAGAGCAATTCCTCAATCGCTAATAAATCAAAGAGCTTATGATCAAATTCCTGAAACTCATCAGCAACTTATACAAAATCAGCAGAGACATATAATAAATAATTATTTTCATAAGTAAGTATCGAAAATTAATATATATCATGATTATTATATTATATTCCATGGTGGAAATATATCTACAACAAACTACAATTTTACACAACCATGCAAAATGTTGTCAAAAATTGTAATTTGTTGTAGAGTCACGTAGAAAGTTGTAGATATATTTCCACCAGGGTTGTAATTTATTGAGTCTACTCTGTTTCAGTTTACTTTGAATGGGTATCTTTGATATGCTTTGATTGTCTACATTACATCTACTATACATCTATTTAGATTATTATCTGTAAAAAGATTTAATAAAATAATAACATGATAATGCAATAATAAGAATGTCGTTTACAAAGGTTTATAGATGTTTATTTATTTTTAACTGTGATAATAAAGTTATACAGTGTATATTAAACTTTTTTAATCATACATGTTGCCATTTTCACAAAAGTAATATTAAGATCTTTTTAACTCAAAAAAATACAAAATGTCGAGTTACTAAACTACGAATTAATAATTTTTTCATGTTTTGTACTAATGTTATTAATAATTAAATATGATTTAACATTTATTAATGATAGAACTTGCAATACTTATCGACTTAGAATCACAATCATATTGCATAGTAATACTTTCATCACGTGCATAAAAAATATATTTTTTTTCACAAAACTAAATAACATTTTCTTATACTAATTTGTTTTTTAACATATTAAATGCTGATCTACTAATAACAATACTTTTGCACATAGATCATTCTTTTTTGAAGAATACTAAACGTTATTCATAAAATTTTATGAAATAATTCTTTCATTCAAGTTTAAGAAGAAACATATGCTCAATCTCACATGTAAATATTAAGATTTAAAAACGAATTAACGAACTATAATTAATACTTGAACGATAATATTTGGTTATTAGACTATATTGTTAAAATTGTACTTTCGTTTTTAAATATATCATATATCTATGTCCTCTAATCGGATTCGGAACTAAGCAAAATCGAATCATCATTCTGAGAAGCAGTCTGTTGATTCTCATCATTATAATCAGGTTTTTGTACTTTAGCATGGCTAGCTATATTTTTCTTTATGTTATCATTACTAGAATTGTTCTTTTTCATTTTATTCAAACCAAAACATTTAGCTTTTAGAATTTCCAGTTCGAGATTTTCTTGCGCTAACTTTGTTTTTAGATATTCTTTTTCTAATGCTTGGTTTTCAGTTAAACTTTTTTTAAGTAATTGAAAAGCTTCTACTTTAAGAGACGTTAATTCGGTTGCAGACCACTTTTGTCTTGATGCATTAGTAATGCCCGTGGATGTACTAGGAATTTGCTGTGAAACATTACTGACGGCATTACGTAAAGGAGCACTCAATGATGCTTTTAACTTCTTCGGGTCCCATTTGTTCCATTTTTCTATTTTTTTTGTTTGAAGTAAATGCTATAAAAAATAATAACTAAATGTTTCTTATTTAAATTATCATTTTGTGTCACAATTAATAACTAAAAATCTATGAAAACTCAATAAAAATTAATGCATGTATTAAGATCTAAAAATTCTAGAATAAAATGAAATAATTCAACTTACATCAAACACTACTTTGTTAGGACATTCATTTTCAGCATCACTATCGAATATATTCTGTAGGCCTTCTACAGAGAATGGATGAATTATTTCCAATGCTGCCATATCAATTATACTCATTTGACCTGTATTAACACCTCCACCTGTAAAAATTAGTATTAATGATAATTGATAGTAAGTCTGGGTTCGAATTATTATTGATTTTATTTATTATTAGGTTACCTGTAGCACGTGTTTGTTGCTTAGATTGTGCTGCATTTTTTCGAGCACATTGTTTTATATGCTGCCAGCAGTTTCGCAAGGATGCAGTATTTCGTTTGAATACAACTTTCTTGTTGAATGTCTCCGTTATGACACTCCATGCTTCATCTTTTTCGAGATTTCCGACTGCATCAGTTCTCTTATTCTCCACCACTTTTGAATGTTGCTTTACCAAATCAATTAGTATTAGTTTGTCATCAACGGAATAATGTTTTTGTGACATTTCAATAATAATCTAGAATGAAATTACATTATTAAAATGAATCATTCATTTCCATTGATTCAAATGTATGAACATAAATGAGCCTTTAACCTTACTTCTTTCAATTTCTATGCTAATAACAATTGCTACTATTTGTTTACATTTGTTCAATAAACGATTTTCTAGCTAATACATGATTCAGTAATAATACTTACTAATATTTATTGTAAAATAAGTGAAAGAAAAGTTATAAGGAGTAAAATTTACCTATTCAGTCTTATTCTTGTTTACAATCACTTTTGCCGGTCAACCATATTGAAATTTCTTTCCAAGAACATAAGTTACTTCACCAGAACTCGCCAGATGGCACAAATGGTAATTTCTTTCATTTTTAAAATTTTAAGTTGGTACACAATAGCAGTCTGCTATGTGGTGAAACTCGCCCTTAGATGCTCTTCATGTGTTCTTGTACGCTTGCGCAGTAGTAAAAAACATGGTAGAAGGGGTAGAAAATCAGTAGTGGGGAGTCCGAAAGTATTGAAGCAACTGAGGAACTCTTTTCTCAGTTCGACTATAGTTTCTAATGAAGTGCCGGATCATCCAGTAATTTCACCAGTTTCGGGCAGTATTTTTGAAAAGAGACTCATCGAGAAATATATTGCAGAAAATGGAATAGATCCTATTAATGGGAAAGAGCTTACAGTTGAACAGCTCATTGAAGTGAAAGGTAAATATTGAATTATTTATATGAGGAATTTACTTCTCTTCAAAAACTAATAAAATTCGTTTTAATCTATTATAGCATCACCCTTAGTTAAACCAAAACCTCCAAGTGCGATCTCGATTCCAGCGATTTTAAAGATTTTACAGGATGAATGGGACGCAGGGATGCTTCATTCTTTTACTTTACGACAGCAATTGCAGACGGCGCGTCAAGAATTATCACATGCCTTATACCAACATGATGCAGCATGCAGAGTAATAGCCAGGTTAACCAAAGAAGTAACAGCTGCTAGAGAAGCTCTTGCATCTCTGAAATCTCCAAGTGGAATTATGCAAGCTACTGCTATTCCTCAACCAGCAGTTGCTGTCGAAGCTGGAGGTGCAGCAGCACAACCCACAGAGCAAGCTGGAATCACCGATGATGTTATTCAGATCCTACAGGAAAAAGCAACTGTTTTGACTCAGGAAAGGAAACGGCGAGGATGTTCTATACCAGAAGAGTTAGTTCCTGTAGATAATATTCGAATATTCCAAATTCTAGCATCTCATCCAAGTCTCCACTCGGCAAGTGTACCGGGAATTTTAGCCCTTGACATTCATAGTACGGACACTAGTAAAATTTTAACAGGAGGTGCTGATAAGAATGCTACAGTATTCAATAAAGACACCGAGCAGGTAGTTGCCATATTAAAGGGACATACAAAAAAAGTTACTAGGGTTGTTTATCATCCTGAAGACGATGTTGTTATGACTGCTTCACCAGATACTACAATTCGAATTTGGAATGTTGCTACCAGTCAGACAACTTTACTATTAAAAGCTCATGACGCCCCTGTTACCGGATTGTCGCTTCATCCTACTGGTGATTATTTACTTAGTTCGTCGTTAGATCAACATTGGGCATTCTCTGATATACGTGCTGGACGATTATTAACAAAGGTAGACTTGATTTTTTAACTATTTTTTGAGTTTAATTTTATTATTAATTGCTAAAAAATTATTTGCTGATAGGTTGCTGGACCAGCAAGTCAAGGGATTTGAGGAAATTGAAAAATTTCAAGACTTTGCAATTAGATGATTCATACGAAGTAAGAGATTTAGCTTTCGACAAAAGCGGAACATATTTGGCTGTTGCTGGGTCTGATATCAGGTAAAATTCCTTGTAAAAGTGTAATAAATAATAAATAATTAATTGATTATAAACTTATTCTAATCTGACCAATAAATTGTTCTCAGAGTATATTTATGCAAACAATGGCAAGAACTCAAGGTTTTCAATGAACATACTGCTGCAGCAACTGGTGTTCGTTTTGGTAAACATGCTCAATATATTGCATCAACCAGCATGGGTCGAACCTTAAAACTATATGGATTGGTATAGAAAAACGAATGAATAGATAGTAGATTTCACTTCTAAAATCATTATCCAATACAGTTATGATTTTGTTTCTATTCAATGAAGTATTGAATGCTTATATTTGCCAATAACATTGAAAAATAAACAACAAATGAAATACAGCAAGATTGTCTAAATTTTAGACTCTAAAGGTTTGCCTATTGGGAGCTCTCGGGCCTTTAAGAATGTAATAAAATTTTATGCTCGAATACAACAAAGAGTTTGAGATAATAATATACAGTACCGGACATAAATGCTGTTTAATTTTTTAAACGTTATACATGTGATTTCCCTATACCGTCTTATAGAAAATCACACAGCATTTATGTCCGGTACTGTACCTGAACACTTTTAGGTAAAGATTACAATGAGTCAATCTGTAAAAATTTTTGAAAATCGGACTTTTGAGAAATTCTGTTGTATGTCTTATTGCAGATCAACTAATGGAAATAATTAATGGACTTTTTGTCTAGAGAATTACATTTTTATTTTAAAAAAAATTTATCACTAAAGGAGCTATAGCTATAATTATAGCCATAGCTCTTCTTAAGGCTGGGCTGAAGTCAGAGAGGCGACTGATTCCCCCAATCCAAATACATGGGATCGGGATATTTCTAATTTCTTCGCCAATTTACTATTATTTCTATAAAATTAGATACAAAATTACAGAGAAATCAATGCCGGACTGACGTAAACAACAATTTTTTGTATGTAGTGAATATTTTTATTGAAAAAATTAGAAAGAATAATGAACAAATTATGAATTGACTTGCCGCGCTTAAATTCCAAGATGGCGGCCACATTATTCAGATGAAAAATAACTAATTATTTCATTTTTATACGTTTTTCGCCCAAAATTCGTGTTTGCGTCAGTCTTTGCCACCTGTCTGAATGTCAAAAAAATCAATTCATAGTATAAAATTGAATAATTTAGAAATAGTTTCCCAGAGTTGACTTCACGCCCTCGCGTTGTGCGGCGAAAGACCGAAGCTCGATATCAATTGAAATTGAGTAGGTAACAATGAAATCGTTCGAAAAATGATAATTTTCAGGGATGCACTACAAAAAGGAAGCCTTAAGGCACCAAGCAATCAACAAATTTTAGAATAATCTGTTCCGAGCAAGACAGAGCACAGAATATATCTATCTATCTCCGTCTTATTTTTCAGAGAAGATTACGAGTTCGAACAGTTGACGAGCAAGCACATCCTCCACCCTCTGTTACTAAGTCTGAAGCTTATGATATCTAAACGTAATAGTCCAGTCAAATGAGGGAAATGGGATAATTTTAGTTTGCTGCGGCCAAATTGATGATTTATAGATGACTGGATCGGAAATTTCGCGAGAAACACAATGGTGTAGGTTAAAATTGTTTGGCACGCATAGGGGGGGAGTAAATCGCGAAAAACCGCCCCTCATCGCGAATTTCTCGATTTCTATGATAGATATGAAAAAATGTTTTAAATAAAAGTTGTTCAGAATTTAATTTTAATAAAAAAAGTACATGACACTATTTTCATATCTATGATAGATAAAAAGTTATTCGCGACTGAAGCTTCACTATTGACAAAAGCTCCAGTCGCGTCTAAGAAAATTGATAAAAAATACTTAACGCTACAAATATCACTTTGTAGTGATTTATTTCGAAAAATGAGATATTGAAGTACATTTTCACAGAAAAATTTTTTTTTATCAATTTTTTCATTATTTTTATGAACAATGAATTATCTAAATCCTTCTGATTTAGATTCCGATTCTGAAAATCGGGCTGATCGGCGCATTTGAACAAAAATGAGAAGGAATATTGCGGAAAATTTTTTTTTTTTAATTAAATTGCATGTAATTGCAATTTTATCATGCCAAACATGAGTTTCAAATTTCAATTTGTATGTGAAATTATTTTTCAATTAATCGATGACAAATGAGAAAATATTTAAACAGGGCCATTAACCTTTTTTTTTTGTACAAATACATTGATAATAGCCTTTTTAACAACTTATTAACAATAAAAAATAGTTTAAACAATCCGCGGGGAGTTCCGGCACTTTGCTGGCAAGCTTTATCCTTACCCTTCATACTCAAGCCTGCATTATCCAACTCATAAACATGAACATAATGTCCGAGATAATGTGTTAGCTGTGTGGTTAGAACACCAGGCTTTCATTTTACCGATTAGGATTCGATCCCAGTCATAGCCAATTTTTGTTCATTAAAATTTTACATAAATGCAATAGTTGGTTGTTTATATTAGTTCAAAATCAATTCCTATAGTCTTTTAGAGACAACATTTTCTAAAAAAAAGAATTCATAGTAACTCATTCCTCACCCTCAGCTTATTTTCAGAAAAACAAGTTTTTTTTCGTAATTAATTGGAAGAATATTTCAATAAAATTTATAAATATATAAAGTTACTCAAACGAAAAAAAAGAAAAAAAAAAATTTGCTATGACTAGGATCGAACTCTGCCTGGCAAAACAGAAGTCCAACACTCTGACCACAGAGCTATCAGGATAACAATTATTTTATTTATGCTTATAAATTCTAAGCTGTAGGCTTGGGCACAGAGAGTGGGGGTAGAGCTTGCCGGCGAAGTGTCGGAACTCTCCGCAAATTGTTTAAATTGCTGCTAAATATTTTCAAATTATTTCTGAAAAAAACTACATTTATATAACTGTACTAAAAAAGGGTTTATGGCCCTGTTCGAATGTCTTTTCCCTCAGCGTTCATTAATTAAAAGAATTATAAAAAAAAAAAAAACTCAAATTCTTATTAAGAATCAATTTTGGCTTATTAAAATTATAATTACATTTAATTTCACTAAAAAAAAAAAGAAAAAAAAATTGGCCGAGATCGTGATTGAACCCTGCTCGGCAAAATAAAAGTCTGGTACTTAAACCACAAAGCCAGCATATTTCCAATCATATCTTCATGTTTATTCATCTTAAACTACATGCTTCGATCCGTAGACTTGGAATTGAGCTCGCTTGTTGAAATTTATACCTAATAGAAATAATAATAATGGATGAATATATGTATTGTAAGTTATTTTCAGGTATTACATTAATTAATGTTTAATGAGTATCATCATATTCATATATATAATACAATGTTTCTAATTATTTCTAAATTATTCAATTTTATACTATGAATTGATTTTTTTGACATTCAGACAGGTGGCAAAGACTGACGCAAACACGAATTTTGGGCGAAAAACGTATAAAAATGAAATAATTAGTTATTTTTCATCTGAATAATGTGGCCGCCATCTTGGAATTTAAGCGCGGCAAGTCAATTCATAATTTGTTCATTATTCTTTCTAATTTTTTCAATAAAAATATTCACTACATACAAAAAATTGTTGTTTACGTCAGTCCGGCATTGATTTCTCTGTAATTTTGTATCTAATTTTATAGAAATAATAGTAAATTGGCGAAGAAATTAGAAATATCCCGATCCCATGTATTTGGATTGGGGGAATCAGTTGCCTCTCTGACTTCAGCCCAGCCTTAAAGTTGTCTGAAAGGTCATCTTTACGCCATCTATATGAATCAACCAAATCCTGACGGTTTAAATGTTACCTTTAAGTTAACTTTAATAATTGACTTCTAAGTCAGCTATTATTCGTTGAAATTAAGACATCTTTTGAAAGATATCGAAAAATTTATGCATCTCGACATCATATTATTAACATTTCCAGATAAAGTTAGTTTAACTTTCGTAAGTTATCTATTTGATGACTTACTCTTTTTGTGTCTACTTGGGAATTTGTCGTATACGAACGTAACGTTTAGCTGACGACTTTTAGACTAAAAATACGAATTTTTTTATCAGGACCACATAATGTATAAAGAAGCCCCGAGATTTCTAGTAAACGTGAACGGTTCAAATATACACAACTTAGAAAATCTGATTGGCTAATAACCCGCTAATCGAGTGATATCCAAAAGATGTCTGAAAAACGTCTAGAGGATGTCAGAAAAGATGTCTTTAGATGTCTGTTGGACATCTTTTTTCATCATAAATCATTCTGATCAACCTTCTAGCGTTTTTCAGAATGTTTATCGTCAAACTAGGTTCATTAGAAAAATAAAAATAAACCTTCTATCACCTGAGGTGAAATTTTCATATTTAATTTGATACTGAACATCCTGAATGACCGAATTTCGTCCGGATTTGATATTGAAGATCTTGAAAAATTGATTTCATACTTATTTTGGTACTGAATATCCTGAATATTTGGTCATACAAATTTTCATACTTATTTTGATCCTGATCACTCTGATAGTTTCATCTTGAATATCCTGAATATTTAATCATCAAAATTTTGATGCTGATTTTCATCCTTAACACTTTAGTGATTTCATCCTGAATATTTGGCCTTACAAATTTAATATTGATTTGATCCTTGATACTCTGGTATGTCCTGCTATATGACAGATTGTTCAGGACCAAAATCAGCATTAAATTCTTAAGATAATTATTGCCAAAAATTCAGGATATTCAGTATCAAAATAACACATCTTGAATCTTTTCAGGATATAAGTATTAATTAATATTTAAATTTAATATTAAAATTTAAATTGTATCTCAAATGTAGTATTAAATTTAATCTATATCTATCACAATTACATGAATTTCTCAATTATTCTAGGACATTTGTTCATTAATTATTATTTTATCTTGTCAATATCATATTTATTATTAATATCATAGTATTACATATCAATTTTATCTATAACAATTAACAAAAGAATATATTGTTTTTATCATGATTGACTGCAATGCACAATTGCAGTGCATATAGTAACAGTTGATCATGAGTGATTAGTTATTATTGTTCATTAAATTGTATTATTAAGTATTTACCTGCAAACTATAAATATGTAATTCTACAAAAAAATAAGATAACAGAAACTTTTATTATTCTAATTCATACTTATTTATAGGAAAAATTACATAATCTACTTTATCAATACTGATATAAATACATGACATAACAATATCAGTGATTCTTATAATACTATCAAAAGAAAATTAAGATGGTGTTTATACAGTAAATTATTGATGATTAAAATCATAGAAAGGTTTCGTATGATGTAACTATAATTGTAATAGAACTTTTCTATAATTTTAATTGTCTTGTATTGACTGTACAAACAGTATTTTGACTTATACTAATCATACTGGCAATACCAGACAGATATGATCCTGATATGATACTGCATATCCTGAATTTCTCATTTAATGAGATCCTTAATTCATACTGAATATCCTGAATTTTTAAATTGAGAAGATCTTGAAGATCCTGAATTTTTATTTTCATATGATCCTGAATTGGTCCTGAACATATAGAATGCGGACTCATGCTGAGGTCTTCAGGATCAAATCAAGATCTTCTTAACACGGAATTGGTATCCTTGTTCATCCTGAATTGATACTGAAGATTCTGAATACTGTCAGGATATTCAGGATCA